ATCCTTGTGCAACAATAGGAGGAAATTCTATTCAGCTTTGTGATTTATCAAGCCAAATATCTGACGGTAAGAATATCATATTTGTTTTGGTTTTGAAGTATTTGCAGTTGAAGTTTATGGTGTTGAGAGTTAATTCTGGTGGTAGGACAATGATGATAAGAATAAGAAATTGAAAAGGTTATTTGAATTAAGACAAAACCTATATTTGACTGCAGCAAACAAGATCTACAAGATTGATATATTCTCATCTTATTGTGATCAAATTGTTCCAAATTTTGCATAACCATATTCCTGCTATATATAATTTTAGAAGGTGGCAAGGTGTTGAGCCTAATTGTCAAACTTGTACATGTGCTTGCAAAAAATCATGTTCCTATTCACATACACAGGGATATTACCATCTAGGCATGGAAATTATCATAAATTATCTTAGCTTTCCTTTTCTTAAGTTACCATATATTACATTTTGTTTTCTTATTTAATTCATATATTAATTACTATAAATGTGTTTTCTTCCTATTTTTAAATGTTTTTAATTATTTATTTCTATTTATTTTTTAATATATGATATATCATATTAATAATTTGTTATATATAAAATAATGAAGAGTTCCATCTATCTTTATAATTAAAATTTATTTTTTTATCAAACCAAGTTAAGAAATATCTAAATAAAACTATAAATTATTTTATAATATAATAAGTGTTAAATAAATGTTTTGGTATATCTTTTCATAGATTTNTCTACAAAAACAATTAAAAAATTGACATCCAATGGCTGCCTTACAAATCTGAAACCATTCGTCTATTTGTCTTTAGATTCTATTAACCAGGGGCGTATCTGAATGGACACCAGGCCCACACTAGAAAGAAAATTCTTATATGTTAGTACCCATTAAGATTTAAAACTAAGAAAATAGATTAATACCATTAATAAAAAAATGAAAAATTAAAAAAAATCTCTTGTTGGGCATAAAAAAGAAGACAAAAAGTAATGGGGAAAGAAATCCTTATTGTTATTAATTTTGATGAAAATAAGTCTGAGTTTCGAATAAGAAAAATTAAACATTCATTCGCCTTTTAGCATTCTTATAGCTAGTTGTTTCTTAATTATCGTAAAGACTAATGTGAAAAATTAAATTATAGGGCCCTTAAAGCTTGATGTATTAGATAAATCATTTTATATATTATATATTATTTTTTGTATGAACATATGGAGAAATATATATATATATATATATATATATATATATATATATATATATAGGATGTGGTTCAAATGAGAACCAAGTTCTAGTGTGAGAACCGTGAGAACCGCTATTTTTAATTGTATGTAGTGCTATGATTAATTGTGTTTTAATGCTATTTTTAACTAGGATGTATTTGATTAAAAATAGCAACAAAATTTTTATTAACATTTATGAAAATGATAGCACCATGCAATATTAAAAATAGCATCATACATAATTAAAAATAGCATCAAATATGGTTCTCACGGTTCTCACACCAGACATAGTTTTTATTTGAACCAGCCCCTATATATATATATTTTAGCCTACCTGACGCAGCAAAAGCAAGAGAATAAAGGGAAAACAGAGAATGAACTCTCAAGTCGATATTATTTTCTGAAAAAACTCCTGTTCAACTTCAACACATGACAGATAAATAGGAAAAGAGTCCCATACGTCTAAAATCCTATCTTTTCAACAAGAAAGGAATATAGAAAATAAATAAATACCTATCTCCTAAAAATTGGAAATAAAATAAATAATAATAATAAAAAAAATAAGCATAATTAAATTAGACTAAAGAAGCCAGTCGATCATGTCGGTCTAAGAACGCGAGGGAAATCTCGTCTTCATCATCCTCCCCCGGTTGAGAAGGATTCGCCCTCGAATCCCGCACAATCTCGTCTTCATCTTCGTCCGAATTGTCGCCAAGGAAAGGAACAAGGTGTTTGACGTTAAAAACGTCTGACGTACGAACATGGGAAGGCAGACGTAGGCGATATGCATTGGGATTAATCTTTTCAATTATCTCGACCGGGCCAATCTTACGAGCGGACAGCTTGTTGTACTCATGGGCCGAAAAGCGGTCCTTAGTCAAAACCGCCCAAACAAAATCTCCGACCGCGAATTCCACATGTCGACGACGAGCATCGGCAGACTTCTTATAAGCCGCCGTACTCGCCTCCAAGTTCGCACGCACCGTAGCATGAGTCTGCTGTAAATCGGCCACAAAGTCAGTCGCGCGCCGATCAACTAGCTCGGAGGACGGCAAGGCGACCAGATCCGCCGGACCCCGCGGTTGCACCGCGTAGACGACCTGAAAAGGGGAGAGTCGCGTAGCCCGACTGACGGCTGAGTTATGAGCGAACTCTGCTTGGGAGAGCCGTTGATCCCAGCCCCGAAGATTATCGCCCACCAAGCAACGCAATAAGTTCCCCAAAGAACGATTGACAGCTTCGGTCTGGCCATCAGTTTGTGGGTGATATGCACTGTTAAAATCCAGCCGGGTTTTAGCCTGCCGCCACAGGCTACGCCAGAAAAAACTCCTGTTCACACATGACAGATAAATAGGAAAAGAGTTCCATACGTCTAAAATCCTATCTTTTCAACAAGAAAGGAATATGGAAAATAAATAAATACCTATCTCCTAAAAATTGGAAATAAAATAAATAATAATAATAAAAAAAATAAGCATAATTAAATTAGACTAAAGAAGCCAGTCGATCATGTCGGTCTAAGAACGCGAGGGAAATCTCGTCTTCATCACTACCCCAACTTGCTTAGGACTAAAAATGCTATGTTGTTGAGTTGAGTTGAGTTGAATGGAGAAATATTTTTAAAAACTGCCTACCGAACAATGAAATTCATAAAAATAACTATGAATATGTATGTTTTTTATTTATAGTTTTGTTATCATGTGTTATATATGTCTTTAAAAACAATTTCCCACTCATTTTACGATCCGGCCCCGCTATTAACCCTGGCAGAATCAAAACCAGAAGTTGGCATTTAAAACTAATCAAATTGGAAAACCAGAAGTTCCTACTATAATTGTGATGTTCGTTTAACTCCTCAATCTCTTGTTTCCATATTAAACAAGAAATTACACCTGATACGTACGCTTGCTTTTTCTTTTTTTCTTTTTTTTTTTTCAGGTAATGAGGATGGTCGGGTGGACAACAAAGGGGTTGTAATCAGATGTTGCATCCTCTAATGAGATCGTGATCAGTTGTTGCATGTTGCATCCTCTAATGTAGCGCCCCCTTAATGGAGCATGTGGCTATTAAGTGCATATATAAAGTTTAAAATTCAATGTATCAATGTTAGGTTTTCTAGGATACATGTAAACTAACTTCCCATATCTATACATGGGATAAAATTGAATTTGTGGCTATTTATGATGTAATTCCTTTGAATAATTTGTGTCTGCGACACGACGTTTGAAAGTTGCATAGGTTAATTTTTCTTGAATCGTGTTAGTTTGTTGGCGGTTTGACGACCATGTGGGGGCAAAAGAAAAGAATAAGAAAAAACAGAGCTCCATTATACATTGTCGACGGTATATTGGAGCTCAAATCAGCAGGATATGATGTAGAGTTATTCAATTTTAAAACTTAGCTCCAATGAGTGCTTTAAATCAAAGTGTTGCTTTTTTTTTTTCAACAACAAACAACTTGTAGATAAAACTCAAATAAAATAGTTCATACAGCGAATACCCAAAATGAGCACAATTTAGATAGCAACCCACACAAACCCACACAAATGGAGCTACTACAAGTTATGAGAAACCAACATTAGGCTATTTGAAAAGCCTCCAGGGCCAAAAACAAAGAAGAAGAACAAGCAAATTTATCGAAATAGAAAGAACAACAGGAGAAAGACTCAGTGACAAGAAAAATATCTGCTACAATGGACATCACTTCTCAATTTGCCTTCCTCTTCTGGTTAAGTACATTTGCAATTTGAATAGAATCCACCCTGCAACATAAAGAGGAGGAAGAGCTTGTCCCTTGCAACTTAATCAGTTCCCATCCCACTGCTCTAAGAGTGGCTTCTTCAATATTTTCCGCTCTTTCACAACAATCCTTCCATCTAAAGTACACTCTCCCCTCAGATTCCACAAGACCCCCAAAACAAACAGATCCATCTGGAAATAGGCAAGCACTGACAGTAAGAATAACCTGTCCTACCCCTCTCCCAGAGAATTTTGAGTTCCTCAAATTTTCAAAGTAGTCCCTTTACCTCAGTGACATTCCCAACTGAAACCTCCTCAAACTCTCTCCATTCCTTCCAAGCCCCATCCACAACATCGTTATTCGAAATCCTGATCTTATTAAAAACCCATGAGTTCCTAGTTCTCCACAACCACCAAAGCAAGTAGGTTGAGAGATTGATTCTATCTTGAAAGCAATTACCCTTCTTCCCAGAACACAAGTCTTCCCACCAATCCTTAAAAGATAGTTTCCCAAACCACTCAGCTTCCAGCAGTTCACAACCCTAGTACAACTGAACAACATATGCTCCAAATCCTCTACCCCCTCCCCACACACATAGCAGATAGTATCAACCTGAACTTTCCTATTCAGCAGTTGAGCATTTGTATTTAGAATCCATACCTGCATCTCCATATAAAGTTTTTAACTTTACTTTTCACTGGGAGCTTCCAAGTCTTTCTCAAATAATTTGCATGTTACTGTGGCCTGAGCTTGAGCTGGTTGTCATCTGGGTTTGCAAATGATGGTTCAAAAGAAATTTGTAAACATCTCTCACAATGAAGAGTCCTTTGGAATTCTAATGCCAAACCGATTTGTCATGAGAACCTGCATGGCATATAGGAACTTTTAAAATGTGGTCAGCTCCTCAGGAGAGAATGCTTGAGAAACTAGATCCACATCCCACTCAAGTTTTATCCATAAAGAGATCACAAATTTTCTGATTCTCACTCTATCAATAGGGATCTGTAAGTTAGGATAAAAATATTTAGTGTGTGGTAGCCATGGGGAATCCCAGACATCAATGGACCTCCCATTCCCAACCTGGTATCTCACTCCCAACTTCAGAGAGGGTACCACATGAATCCAGCTTTTCCAAAGCCAAGAGTTACTACTCTTAGACTTGACATCAATTTTTTTTTTGGTTCCAAAAGTATTTACCTTTAAGCACCCTACTCACTAATAGATTAGGTTTTGTAATGATTCTCCACAACTGTTTTGTCATTAGAGCTTCATTAAACAACCTGAAATTTCTAAAATCCATCCCCCCATTTTCTTTAGACCTAGACAGTAAATCCCACCCACACCAGTGGATTTTGTTATTACCAGACTCAGAAAAACCCCACCAAATTTTGGCAATCTCTCTACAAATGTTTTGATAGACAGAAATTGGAAGTCTAAAACAAGACATCACATAAGTGGAGAGGCCTTCTGATGGGTCTACTTTTGGATCTGGAGTAAACCGGTGGTTGTGAGTTCAGATCTGCTTGAACCGCCTTGAAACCGTTGCTGGACCGCAAGAATTCCTGCAAAAACTCAACGCCGGAGGTGTTTCCGGTGTAGAGCCTCCGGCGCTCAAGTCAGTATGAGAGTGATGAAGAGAGGCTGCGCAGCAGCTATGGGGGAGAGTGGAATGAATGAGAGTTAGGGTTTTAGGGTTACCTCATCTCCTTTATATAGGAGTGAATACTTACGCGAAGTACCCAAAATGCCCAAGTCGGTAGACCTAGAAGGTCCAAAATGCCCCTGTCGATTCGTCTCCCCTTAGTTGCTGAGTCACCGCGAGATTCCTTCTTATCTTTCCTAATGTGGAGGGCTTTGGACATGTTACAAGTGTGGTGAATCGTCATCACATCTTTGTTACTTAAGGTATGTGAAGTCGACTTCGAGATCTAGGAAGTCGACTCGCGAATGTATGCGGTTCCGGAGACTACGCTTGACTAGTCCTTTTAGACGGAGTCGTCTTCAGAGAGTCGTCTTAGTTCAGTCGACTTCTGGGAGTCAACTTAGAATATCTGGATGACCAGGAGCTTTGCTGTTCCTCTTTCATTGGTGTCGATTAGTGAAAATCGGTAGATTAAGGTCGACTTGCGAGAGTCGACTAGATCAATCTCGGCTTCTTCTTGATTGCTCTTAGAAGAATCGACCTTTGGGAAGTCGATTTGGGCATGTCGACGGAGTCATGTCGACGTGCTAGTAATTCGGGTGGTTTACCGGTCGAGTGATAAGCTTCTGGACCGGGTTATCCTTATGTGGCTATATCACCTTCTAAAATGGATTAATGAGAGTTTCCCTCCCAGCCTCACTAAGA